GTATATCAATTTTTTTTTAAAACTTTGAGAGATGTTATCTTGACAACCACTAAGTTAATTTTAAACTTTTTTATTCGAATTTACGAATCTGTAAAATTCAAATAAAAAAAACTTCATTGAATTTGACTTGGTGGGTGTTGAGATATCTTCACTTAAAGTTTTAAAAAATTCAAAACGTCTATCAAAATAAGACTACCAAATTGTTATTAAACTTTGAGCGAAAATATCTCGACACCTACCAAGCCAAATTTGATGAACCTTTTTTTTATTTAAATTCTACGAATCTTCAGAATTCAAATAAATAATTTTCATTGAATTTGGCTTGGTAGTTGTTGAGATATCTTCACTCAAAGCTTTAACGTCTATCATAAAAGAACTGTGCCAAACGTTTTTTTTAACTTTGAGTGAAAATATCTCGACACCCACTAAGCCAAATTTGATAAACTTTTTTTTATTTAAATTCTATGAACCTGCTGAATTCAACTAAAAAATGTTCATCGAATTTGTCTTAGTAGATATCGAGATAACTTCATTCAAAGTTTTAAAAAATATCTATCAAAAAAAAAAGAGCTGCACCAAACTTTTTCTTAAACTTTGAGCGAAGATATCTCGACATTTACCAAGCCAAATTTGTCGAATTTTTTTTGTCTGACTTCTTCGTATTCGTGGAATTTAAATAAAAAAAGTTCATCGAATTTGGCTTGGTGGCTGTCGAGTTATCTTCACTCAAAAAAAAAGTTTGGCGCAGTTCTTTTATGATAAACGTTTTGAATTTTTTAAAGATTTGAGTGAAGATATCTCAACAACTACCAAGCCAAATTCAATGAACATTTTTTTATTTGAATTCTACAGATTCGTAGAATTTAAATAAAAAAAAGTTCATCGAATTTGGCTTGGTGATGTTGAGATATCTTCGCTCAAAGTTTAATAACAATTTGGTACAGCTCTTATTTCGAGATGTTTTGGATTTTTTTTATAACTTTGAGAGAAGATATCTCAACACCCATCAAGTCAAATTCGATGAAGTTTTTTTTTATTTGAATTTTACAGATCCGTAGAATTCGAATAAAAAAAGGTTTATTGAAATTAACTTAGTGGTTATCAAGATAACATCACTCAAAGTTTAAAAAAAAATTGATATACAGGGGGTATGGTCAACAAAATTGGGGGTACGTATAACAGCCGCCTTATTATTAATTTCCATGTAGTAATTATATAGTACTGTAGTACGTGATTTTGTTTATTGTTTAATGAACACATTGATCAAGTAGAAAATGCAGGCAGCTAAACAGATGAAAGAAGCAGAAAAATTGGAAAAAGTAAGTAATTAATACGTTATGAATTGGATAAATTGAGCAACAAAAATAATAAATAATACTACTCTGGCTAAAGCAACGTCGAAGAGAAGAGCAAAAATTGGAACGTCAACGTAAAAAAGTATGTTTGAATTCGCGTTAAAATATTATTCTCTAGTAGTACATTTGCGCCATTAACGCGTTTTCACAGGAAGAGCGGAAGGCCGAAAAACAAAAAGAGAAACAATTTCAACAAGTTAACAAATTAAAATATGACAAGCTTGAAATGACGCGAGAAATGATTGTCGATATAGAAAATAGTTTAATGGAGGGATTACTTGGTTCTTTAATACGTGACAATTTAGAACCGAAAAAGATGACAATTAACACGTTTCAATACAATGTTCCTGGAATTATCAAGTTTCGAAGAAAGGTTACAGCTGAGTGGAATGACGAATTAGGCGCTTTTGTACCAATCCCAGAAAAAATTCAAGAAGAAGCTTACGTATTTCATTAT